ATATTTATTCGCGACCGCTGAACATCGCTGTGGGCTCTGTGTTTTGTTACCTGGCAGACCCGGTTACCATCAAGAACGTATGGTGGGGGCATCTCAGATACTCGATGATGCTCTCGTGACCTTCCGATCTTCTCCTCGTGTGACCCCTAGGATATTGATGAAAACCGCGATGGGTTCCAGCTGGCATGCTTCAAACACTTTGAGCAGTAGTCCATCCGATTTGCATATACTCCAGCCCCTCCCCCCAAATTACATTCAGGCACCCTAGAATTCTGAACAATGCCTTAAGAGTTTTTTTACTGTCTGCTCTATTCACGTAGTTCCATTACTGGCAACGCCACGTGTTCCGAATTTCATAGCTGCTCTGTCCCAAGAGGGAGTTTAAAGTACTTAACTATATTTCCCTAAATAAACCTGACTTTACCTGACCTGACCTTTGTTGTGGATGTTCATTTTTCTTGGCTTAAGCCTGGCATGTTTGTGTGCTTCGGAAAACATGACACAAACAGCCAGGTGCATAACAGAGAATGTTTAATTGCTCGTTATTAAGTAAATGCTTTAAACAAATATCTTATTTTGAAGGTTTTCATGTTCATTATTTTTGTTTAATCGACCGAAGCCAGGGAAAATCGTAAATTGTTAATAATCATTTCAAGGAGGATCTAAATCTCTTCCTAATCCAAATTCCAAAATAATTACAAAGAAATGTTGCGGGAGATAGTTTCTCTTAGTGTACAAAAATTGTGCCATTACAATTGCACCTGACAATTACATTTACATTTATAAGTCACTTACCAGCATGTCCGCACGCGACGTTGCACAATATCTTATACCTCTGTCCTCTAATGAGCAAAATAAAGCTTAAATTTGGATGCCTTAATCAACTGTAACTCAAGCAATGAATAAATGTGAATAAACCGCCAAAACTCTTGAAACCGTGTTGAAATACGTTCTCGAAATTTGGGCTGTTCGGTTAAAGCTATGCATAACGGTGCATGTAATGTGGAAGCATACGTAAATGAAAATTTAAAAACGTTTTTTTCTTATGTAATGCTCCAGGTGCTGTTCTATTCACTTGGTGTTTTGGATGAAGAAGTTTCATTTACATTTTAAACTTAAATTTACCTATTAAACATAATTTTCAATTTTTCGGCATTTTTCCTTTTGCCAATAGAGGAAAATATACGAGTTCCAGGCAGCAATTCCGAAGAAGTTTTTTCCTTTTGCTAAAAAATCTGGTATTTCTTAATAACGTAATATTCCTTGATAAATCGCAATATGCCCTATTATGAAGAGCTATCATCACCTCATTGCCGCTATACTTTGGGAGACGCAGCTTGGGGTGCATTTGTGAAACAGGGAGTTAGTTGTAGACATTCTCGGAGTTCATTAGTTAGACAACCTGCTGTAGGTACTGTGGTAACATGGACATTTCCAGTTGTTTCCCTTGCTTTCTGAGGTCACCTATGTGCACAATTTGCGAGAACTTATAATGTTATACCAGTTTTACTAAAGTAAATTATATTGTTTTTCGGATGTTGTTTTTTATGCCAACACTGCTGAAATTATGACCATG